AGGTGACAATTCAACACTTTTCAACACCTTACCTGGCAAGGTCAGCTTGGGTACCTCGACGAAGAATGAAGCCCGAGCAGTTTGTGGTGTCTTGACCTGCTGAGATGCCACATAGCCCATTTCTGGAAGCTAGCCAATTTTCTTCGAACCGAGTTTTATTAGGCTCCAATTCAACTCGATTAGCAAGTGAGTATATATATATTGGACTTGAACTTGACTCGATTTAGAGTGAATTAAATTGTGCTAGCTTTTTACTAGCAAAGCTCGAAAAATTCGTAAAAATCTCACATCTTTGTATCCACCCTACTTGTCATAACTTTGTATGTCTATCACAATAACTTTGGGTGGAGTTTTTTTAGGTAATTATCAATAAAAAGTTAAAATTCATATCAGGGTAAGCAGGGCATATACATGTGTGTTTAGTGTTTAACTTTTGAGTCAAAGCCAATTGAATTGATAGGGGTAATTTGGCCCGACTTGTTAGCATGCTGACATGTGGAATGACCTGATGACTAGGTGACAATTCAGCACTTTCCAACACCATAGCTGGCCAGTTCAGCTCGGGCATCTCAGGTACCTCAGCCAAGACCAAAATCTGAGCAGCTTGTGGTGTCCCGGCCTACCGAGATGCCACGTAGCCCACTTCTCGAAGCTAGCCAACTGTATTCGACCTTTCCGAGATCGCACCTCGTGTCAGCGAGCCTTATCCTTATTCCACCTAGATCGGACGAACTCGATAAGCCTTATCAGCTCAACGAAGTCCATCTTCGGGTGCAAAACGGACTCCAGGTAACATGGGCCAGAGATCTCGAACATGTTTCATGGGGCCTATGACAGTTTGCCTATATAAGGGCATCACTACCAACCTCAAATGGTACATGTGATTTAGCTTTTTAGCTCTCTTACTTACAAGGCTCTTAAGCTCACAACTACACTCTTCGTTAACTTAAGCATCGAAGTACCCACATAAAATAAAACACCCAGGGTTCTTTATGTTTTCTTGCGGTTTGATTGACGACATAAGCAGATTGATGTCCGAATTGCCATCCAGCACGAAGTCACCAGATTGTGCATCATCACAATATAAACAAGACCTGCTTAACATAGGCCTGGCGCGTCCTGATTTTTCTTTTCTGGCGCATAAACAAAAATGCATACAATCGTCCTTGAGAGCATGAAATACGATGGATCATGGACCTAATAGCCGTGCCGTTTCATATCCCTCATTTGGTATTTGTTTCAGAAATACATACAATGGTCCATTTTGTGGATGCTCAATTATACAAGTTCGATGGTTCGAACTTCCAAATGCAGTGAATAAGTTAAAAGGCTTCACAAATTCAATGGACCTAATATTTCCTGTTGAATTTTGATCATCGTGGTCGATCCTTGAGGAGCATATCAAAGCTGAACATACCGACCCAGATGGTTTTTTGAAGCATACTCGAGACGGACCCTTAGAAAGCTCAAGACAAGTATTTTCAACAGGCAAGAGAAAGCCAGAGACGTCGATCTGGGAGCAACAGACCGCTAGGCCAGGGCGGTTGATAAACTGGGAGTGTGTGGGTTGATTTTGGATCAATGGATCGCCGGGAAATGAGGCAGCCAGGCAGGTAGGTATATAAATATCACTGTGTTGTGGTGTGGGACATTATTGACTAAACTTTAGTTCCCACATCGGCTGGTGGAAAGAATTGAAGCGGAAGCGAGGATTCCTGAGGACAATCAAAGAAACGAATGAAAGCATCTGTTCTTATCAGTTTAATATCTGATACGTGGGCCATCGGCCCATATGATATTAAATTAATTTCTTTTTAGGGGGAAAGTCCATTACAGTAGCTTGCTACTGGGGTTTTCGTGCGTGGCCCATGCGTTGCACTATCGCACCACGCTAAATCGATGACAAAACAATTTGTTCTCTGTTTTTGAACACTTCTGATTCTTCCGCCTTTCGATTACAATCGGATTATCTTTTTGCGGTCTGACAGTTGCTATAGGAAAATTTTCAATTTAATATCCTGAATTTTGGCCTGAACTTTATGTCAGTCAAGTTGGTCCCTGTCAGAAAATGTCAAAACTATCTTTCAAAAAAAGATAGTGTTCATTGTCTTCTACTTTGAGAGTGAACCAGTTGAGGTATTTGAGATTCTAAACTATTGAAGTCATTGTCTTTTACCTTTAGATCTGAAATACATTTTTGTCTAGTTATTTCTTTGCTTTTAGTTATTGTTTTCCTCTATCATATTTCATGTTTTTTCTTTGAAGATAACCAGTTCAATCTCAAGGTAGAAGACAATGAACAATGTCCTCTTTTGAAGGGTAGTTTTGATATTTTCAACATATAACTGACGGTCAGCTAATGATAGGGACCAACTTGATACTTTTTGAAATTTTAGGTATTGCAGTGATACATTTGAAAGTTCGGGTACTAATTTAACAATATCCCTAAAGTTTAGTGTACTAAGGTGGACTTTTCCTAAATAATAATTCGAAGAGTCTGACAATTGCTATAGTTCCACAATGCGCAAAAAAGTAAAAGAAAAAAAATGAAGAAGCCTAAATTATATTAGATTTAGGTGTTTGCACTTGAATTTGGATTATAATAGGATTTTGTATTTAAACCGAGTCTATTTTACCATCTTTAAAAACAAAGAAAAAACTAAAAAATGAAAATAAAGTAATCACTATTTAACTTCATATACATAAATGTAAATTAAGAACTTTCTTAATCATAAACTTTATTTAATTTCATATCTATCTATCTATATATATAGCAAGATGTTCCAAGTCACCTTGCTTCTTCTTGCTCCATTACCCCAATCTTGCATTCTTCTTGACTCTCTCTCTCTCTCTCTCTCTCCCTTCCCACCACTCTCAATTTGCCATCTCAACACCCTCTCTCTCCATTCCTCTCCCTTCCCATTGGGTTCTCTATCCCCCCATAACTTACATTTCTCACTTTCTATAATAAGTTAACACATTTTCTCCTTAATTAGCTCAATATATGTTTTATCCTCTCCTTCATTTTCATCTCTAATTCCTCTCCATTCTCTATACTTTCCCATAAAAATAAGGCCATAATTTATTAAGATTTTGTTTTCCATATTAAACAATATTTATATCTATAGATGTGATTTCAAGCAAAGAGAGGGGAATAAGGGGAATTTTGATGTTTCCTATATATATTCATGGCATCTTCCATTGTTGTTAAACAATCTATTCTTAAATAAAAGTTTATTGTTAAATAATCCATTAGTTATGAAAATTATTAAAAATTTCTGGAAAATATTCTTCCAAAAATTATGAAATAATTATTAAAGAAATAATCCATTACTTCAAAATAAATAATTTAGTAATCTACCAAAAATTAATAAACAACCCATTATTTAATAATTTTGGTTATTAATAAATGTTCAAAATTTCAATGTTTAGTGTAATTTACATTAATCACTGTAATTTAATAAATTTTTATTATTTTTTATAATAATAATAATTTATCGATAAAAGGTATTACTAATTAGCATAATTTACTAATTTCTATACAATCAATAATTATAGTTAACAATTATCAAATAATTTAGGAAAGTTCTTTAACTAATAATCCATAATTATTTTTTTAAATAAGTAATTAAAAATTTTCGAAATTAATAAATGAAAAAGTATTCTTAAAAACTATTTAAATAATAATCCATTATTATTATCCAACTAAATAATTATTAAAAAATTTAGGAAATCAGAAGTTGTTTGATAATTATTTAAATAACAATGCATTATTATTATTATTTCAATAAATAATTATTAAATAATTTGGGAAAATTATTAAGTCTATCCACATGGATCTAGACCATTTGGTTTACTTGGTCCATACCTGGTTTTACATTAATTAACAACAAGTGATTTATTTTTAATTAAAAATAATTTAGTTTACCATAATTACATTAATTTACTATAATTACATTTACTTTGATTAATAGTAAATAATTTAGGCTTAAAAAGTAATAAGAAGTAAATAATTTACATTAGTTTATTGTTATTGTAAATAATTAATTTACTATGCACTACTACTAATCAATAGCAATTTTAATATTTTTTAAATTATTATAAATTATTGTTATTTAATTTACTATTAGTTAATTGTTTATAGAAAATTATTAGAATTGTACCAATGGCAATTTTTCCTGTAAAATTGGGGCCCTACCTTGCACCGCCCCGAATGGGGCCAAGTTTCTCAAATCTTAAATGGGGACAGGTAGAGACGAAGTGGGGATAGGAAAAATATTTTTTCCCCTAAATTAGGGATGGGGTTTGCTTGTAATTCTCTAAACCCGATGATAAATTAGTAAAATATCCATAGATTTAATATTGATTTTTAAAATAAATCTAAAATTTCCACATATTCTTATAATAATATGACTCATAATTTCATTTATAAAATACCCCTAAATTGTCATAACCCAATTCCTAAAATACTCCTAATTTTTTATAATCCTATTTATAAAATATCCATAAATTAGATTTTTTTAGGTAATTACCTCAGGATGGGGAAAAGTTGGAGATTCCACATCCTCGATTGGGAATGGGTGCCCTGCCATGAACCCGCCCCGCCATTAGGGTTGGGGCGGGGATGAAATAGAATGTCTTGATTTATTGGGGGGAAGGACAAAGGCCCTATTCACATTTTGGTAAGTTACTTACCCGGGTAAATGCACTTGCCCAGGTAATTGTTTCCCAGGAAAGATTTATCCGGGTAAGTATATTTACACATGTTCTTTTATTTCCTATGTAAATAAGGCAATGACCATTTTATCCAAAAAAATCTATTATTACAAGGGGCATTTTTGTCCCTTTCAAGTGTTGGATACTTTCCCCTAAGGTGGGAAAGTTATTTACCCACCCAGGACATGGGTATCACTTACCCAGGAGATGGGATACCCAGGAAAATAAATTTTCTCTCATCCCCACATAAATCTGAAAAAAGAATATGGAATTTTTGACCATTGACCAACTTTCCCCAAAGAGACAAAGAAGGGTGTTCCATCTCTACATCGCACGGGCCACGTTAGTATTGTTATAAGCGAAAGTTAATAAACTTCTTAGGTTGTAACCGCGTTTGATCTGACTATTAACGGATCCATCTTGCAAAGAATTAAACTGATCCGTTTATATAAACGGATTACCAGAATTTGAAATATCCAGACTGCCACCATTGACCGCCTTACAACTAATGTAAGTATCGGCATTATTATATGGTGAATATTTTTGTTTTTCCAGCTTCTATCAAACCAAAAACCGTCTGGTTCCATGTGACAGATTGGGTTCTTTAAGCGTTTATTCTAATAATTCACAAATAATATTGAAATATCCAGAAAGTACCACAACATGCAATTAGAAGGGGGGAGCTTTGAGAATGGTTTCAAAGTTGAGATAGGAGGTCCACCATCGTTGGGCGTGGCTTACGCTTTGCTTTCAAGACCCGGGCTTTGGGTAGGGTGAGACCCCCAGCTCCTTCGCTCATGTCCACTAGGTCGTCACCAACCATCTCCCACTCGAAGCACTGAATGAGTGAGCCCAAAGCTAGCCCAACCATGCGCTCAGCCAATCCCTCCACGGGACAACTTCTCCTCCCCGATCCAAACGGCAATAACTTGAACCCATCTCTTCGCCCTTCCAGCCCTTCAAATCTCTCTGGTTTGAATTTTCTGGGCTCCTCCCATATTTTGGGGTCGTTGTGTATGGCCCACATGTTCACTAGCAGCAAGGTGCCATGTGGGATGTCAAAACCTCCAACAACGCAATCCTCGGATGACTCGTGGGGTACAAGCAGGGGGGCCGCTGGATACATCCGAAGTGTCTCGTTGATGATACAGCGCAAGTAGGGGAGCTTGGATAGATCGGATTCATGGAACAATCGGCCTTGTCCAACATGGTTGTCTATCTCGGCTTGGGCCTTCTTGAGGACGTCTGGATGGTTGAGCAAGAGTGACATTGCCCATTCCATCGTTCCTGATGATGTGTCGGTTCCGGCTGCTATCAAGTCCTGTAAAGGGTAACCTTATTAGTTAGCATTTTCTGCATCGACCTTAGCTAATCAATCAATTCTTATCAGTTGGCCCAACTTTTTGATATAGTAACTGATGTAACCGTTTCTGGTCACGTACCATTTTTTGTGATGTATAAATTTTTTTGGCTAAGTATCTCGTTGTTTAACCCTCTGGGGACGTGCCTTGGTGATGAGCTACTTGGTGGCGAACTGCCCGGTGGCGAGCTCCCTGGTGGAGAGCTACTTGGTGACGAACTGCCTGGTGGCGAACTGCCTAGTGGTGCTCCCTGGTGGCGAACTGCCTGGTGGACTTGTCACTTGACTTGCTCCTAGGCGGCCT